CTTAGAGGTAATAAAACATTAGTCTACACTCTTCAAATCAAGAAATCTAGATAGACATAGTACATCAGTACACCTGAAATCCAAGTATTCAAGAGACTGAGGCAGGAGGATTGTCAAAAGTGGAGGTCAGCCTGGGCTATATAACAAGTACCAAGCCAAGCTAGCTAGGGCTATATAGTAAGACTCTGGTCTCAAAAAAGCATAAGGAGGAAGTTGGAAGGAAGGGAGGGATGGAAGGATTAGTAATGTATCAAATAAGTACAACAAAAATATAAGCAACACGACACTCAGAACAAATCTTTTCTGGCTCAAGAACAGTATAGGAGAGCCAGGCATGGTGGTGTACACTTGGGAGGCTGAAGCGGGATCACAGTGAGTTCAATGCCAGGTTGAGCTAGTGTCAGGACCTATTTTACTTCCCCAACTCTCCCAAAATAAAAGAAAAGCAAAGGAAACTAGACCACTGTCAGTGGATTCCACTTTAGAGGAACTATAGGCCCTTGCTGCTAGCATTACTTCATAATAAAAATTTAAAGGCCAGTAGCAAAGCTTCCTCCAGGATAATCATTTTCATCTCTGGAACATTATAAATTAAGATGGGGTGCCCTTCTGGGCAAAAGTGTCTTGGAATTGGTAATGTGAGTATCCCACATAACTTCTGACCACAGTTAATTTCCCCACTACTGGGGAATAATAAAACTAATAAAACTTGTAATTAGTATACACACAGTAGGACTGTGGAAAGACCTTAAGGAATTAAAACAAAAAACTGGAGGGCTTAAAAAAGCAACATCGGCTTGAAAAAGGCAGCTTAAAAAAACAGAACACCTCCACCCGCCAAATATCTAGTTGGGAACAAACAGAACAGCCCCTAATCTTTCCTCTCCTTGCATGCCCCTGCCTCAGTCAACTGTTGCTGAACAACAAAACGAGTCATCATTTGGGCTTGCTGGGCAGATGTGGAATTTTTGTGCAGGGCAGAGGTGCTTTGGAAGAAGACAGTTATTTAAACCCTTTTTTGCTGGACTGTTTTGGGCTGAGTGGTTGAGGATCAAGCAACTGGCTGGGCGAGCAACCCAGGTCCCTCCCCGTCTCTTCAGTTGCCCCCCCACCCACCCCGCATTCAGTTGTGGTGGGGGAGAGCACAGCTTCCCAGCTCTCTGTCCTAAAACTGCCTTTCTGGAGCCACCAAAGGCAATCCAGCCCCAGCAGCAAAGAATTTTTCGGTGAAGAGCTCGTAGATCCAGAGCGGAGAAGAGAAATCGGCGCCCAAGGGCAATTTTAATTGTCTAACCCGGCCCGATTTCCTAAGAGGCAGCAGAGCGGGGAGGGAAGTGGGAGGAGGGAGGCGGCTCCAAGAGGCAACAGGGGGCAAGCTGCAGAGAAAGGGACCAAAGTGGCGAGATCCCAGCCCTGGCCCTCGAGGAGCTTCTGCAGAAAGGACTCCAGGGCTGCCCCCACCGTTCTCCCCGAGACGTTTGCAAATCATATATGCAGCCAAAATGGCGCTGAGAATAAAAATATAATTTAAAGGCAGGTCGCCATATTGTAAATAGAGAGGCAAAGAGGCGGACTAGAGACACTCTTCATTATTTCCTGCACGCCGGAAGCACCCACTCAACCGGGGTCTGGGACCAGTGCGGCTGGACCGCGATGGGCTCCGAGCTCCAACCCCAAGCAGAGCTCAGCCAGGCAGGAGCCCTGAGGGCGGCGGGCGCGCGACCGCCAAGCCGCACTGGACCTGGAGCTCCTCCCCTTCCTCCCCCGCCACCGCCGGCCGCATTCGGCCGGCTCTCCCGGCTCCCAATCGACTTCCAATCTCAGAAGGGGCTCATCTCACGCCTTCTAACCCCCACCTCGGGGTCTGGACGCAGCGCTGCTCTGTCCCGCAAATCGGCCGGATTTCGGCAGATACCCGGGCGCCGAGGCGCTCGTCCGGGCTGCAGTCAGCTAGCGGCCCCAAGTGCCCGTTATTTCTGCAGGCCGGGTGAAGGAATGTGCTGAGGAGGGTCTGCCCCAGGGCTCCAAACGGGTCCCCAGACCTTACCAGCACTGGAGGTGGAAGGCAGCAGGGCAGTGGTCGCAGCACAGGAGGTCTCCACCTTCCTTGCAGCTATCGCAGCTGTCGTGGTTGGTGGCCCTGCCGCTTCTCCGGGACTCCTTCTCCGGCTTCCGACTCCGCTTTTCTGCCTCGTCGGTCTTGGGGGGGGCCAGCAGAGCTTGGATTTGCTGCACACACAGACAAACGGTGTGTGTGCATACTCGGACCTCCCGGGCGGTCCGACGTCCCCCCGGCGCCGCTTCTCCGTCACCCACCCCTCGCCCCCCTTTTGTCCTTCTTCCTCCCATCCAGGCTGCTGCTAGAACCTTTCGGTCCCCGGAACCGGGGGGAGACTACCCTAACCGCGTTCCTGCAGCACAACAACGAGAAACGCTTCTTCAAAATGGGGAGGATCAGGGTAGGGGGATGGGGAGAGGGTGCTGGGTTTCCTTCTCGCCACTTCCTTGTATGGACAGTGGGGGACTCCAAAGCCCGGCTCGAGAGAGGCCCGAAGCTCGGTACCCGGACGTGCAGGGGGAAGCACAAAGGGGCCGACAAGAAGGGGGTGGGGAGGCCCGCCGGTGCAAGGAGATGGAGTGGGCAGAAGCCTCAGGAGAGCGAATCGAGGGCGGCGGGTAGGTGAAACTGCTGCAAAGGTCCTCGGAGGTTGAGCTCAGTCCCCCCGAATTGCAAGGATGGGAGAGAGAGCCTGGGTGAGGAAGAAGCCCCCCTTCCCGGGCCCTCTGCCGCTTCAAGCTCAGGGCCGGCTTTGTGGGGCGGAGGCTCCCTCCCGGCGCTGAGGAAAGGGGTTGAGGAGGGCCACTCTTACCTCCATCAGCCCCCCCGACGTGTCCAAGTCGTACACGATCGTCTTGGTCTCCATTTTCTCCCACATTCATCCACCTCCCGGGCTGGGCGCTCTCTGCTCCGGCCCCCCCAGCCCCGAGGGGAGGGGGGAAACGGGAGGAGGGGGCACTCCTGACCCCCGCTCCCCTTCTCTCTTCCCAGTACAGGTTCCGACTTCCTCGTCCGGGCTCCCCCCCACCCCCCGGCCCCCAGTCCCTGGGACGGCAGCGTCCTCCCCACGGGCCGTGAGGGGGGAGCAGCCCCTCAGCCTCGGCCCGGTGACTGGATGCACAGTCCCGGCTCCGGGGGTCAGGCCGCGGCGGGGCCTAGTCCCACAGGCTAAAGCCGGCGCTGGCGACCGCTGGTCCGGCCGGGAAGGCTGGCGGGCGCTGCCATCCCGGGGTTGGGGGATCGGAGGGGGGGGTGAGAGGTTAGGTGAGGTTGTGGTACGTGAGGTGACTGGGGGGAGGGTGATGGGGGGTGGTCCCCGGGCTCCGCCTCTTGCCGCCGCCGCCGTCTGCGTCCCGGCTGCCGCGCACTTGGCGCAAACTTACCGCGAGCGCCCGCAAAGCCACCCGCGCAGGCGCCCCGGGATCGCCGCTCGCCGTGCGCAACCGCAGTGACAGCCGGCGGCCGGGCTCCCGCGCAGCCGTAGTGATGGAGTACCCCCCCAGCGCGCAGCCGCGCTGGCATTCGTCTGGAGCCGCGAAGCACCACCTTCCCGGCCTGCGCCAGCGTACTGAGCTAAGAGGGAGGGCCTGAGGACTCGCGCAGGCGTTTGAGAAAGCTCACGGGGGTCATGGCGCAGCCGCACCAACGTGGGCACGCTTCGCCCATTGGTGTTTGTGTGCAGACCTAGAGGCCTCTACTCCCGCGCAGGCGTGTTGGGGGTCGCCCCCGCCCGTCCCATAACAACACCGCCGCCTCCCGCGCAGGCGTATTGTCACCTGTAGGCCTACACAAGAAAGCTTCTCCTTTCGCCATTTTGGTAATGGGACGTGGGCTACCATGCCCTTGGCCTCCTCGGGCACGACCAGGGATGAAGAAAGTGTGTTGGATGGAGCTGGTAGGTTGTCGGCGGTAGCAGTACTCATAGGGATGTGATGGTGGACTGTGGTTCCAGTGTCAAGTGTGACTGGATCAGGCCGCCATTTTGGTAAAGAGAAAAACCATTGCGACAAAAAAGACGCTTTTGGCGGCGGGTGGTTCGGCTGCTGTTTCCACTTAACTCTCGCTTCCGACAGTTAATTTTACCCGCGCATTTCTGCCTTGCTTCGTGACGGCCCTGAGCAGAGTTCAAGCTGTCCGATACTACCCTCTTGACTACTCTACAAGAACTACCCTTCTCGAGGAAGTCAAAAGCCAAAACAGTTATCCTGACAACGCCCAGCTACCTGCCCACGGCCGACTCCAACTCCCAATTTGCAACGCACCAAAGGTTCAAAGGGTCAAACGAGAACGCATTGCACTCTGGGAGCAAGAATCGCGATGGTGCTGATGAGTTGTGGGAGTTGTAGTTCCATGTACAAGTGCTGTACCTACTACCGAAGGATGAACTGGAGGGGTGGGGTGGGGTGATTTGCCTGCCGGGAAGGTAATTTTGAGAGCTGCCGTGTTGCATACTGGGACTTGTAGTTACAGCCCCTCATCTCGCATTCTGGGCGTAGAGCCGTGGTTCCATTCGGGTGTACACCCCTGCCCTTGTTTAACTTTCAGATATAGCCAGATACTTCTGCTAGTTGTGGTTGAAACAATTGAGAAGGGAGCTCGGTGGCTGAGCCTGACTTAGCGTTCAATTAGCATTGTTGATATGCAACTGTGTCCTGTCCACTTTAATGTGACTGGACACAGCATTCCCAGAGTCGGGAAATTGGAAGGGGCTTAGAGACATCTGACTTAATCCCTTGGTTTTCAGATGCGCAGATCGGAGCAGTGATTCGTTATAAAAACCACAAAGTAATTATTTAAAAATCTTTATTTCATGTGTATGAGTGTTATGTCTACATGTGTGTAAGTGCACCTGTGTCGTTTACGGACAGTTGTGAGCCGCCATGAGGGTGCTGGGATTCAAACCCGGTCTTCTGCAAGAACAGCCAGTGCTCTTAACCGCTGAGCCATCTCTCCAGCCTCTCACATAGTGATTTTATAGCAAACCTAAAAATGAAACATTTCTTGATTCACAGGCCAACAAGTTGACCACTGCACCATCTCAGGAATTTACTATCTCAGGAATTGTTCCTGCTCTTTCTTTTGGGACAGACAGGACTATAAGTTAAAAAAGTATGAATAACTGTGTAAAGTTTTAGGCTTCTGGGGATTGTGTATGTGTGTGTGTGTGAGAGAGAGGCTTTTCACTTTTCTGATGGCCCTATGTTGGTGCTTAGAATTATATAATGAGCAAATGGAGAATGTCATGCAAATTGGCTGTTCTCTGCCTTCTGTCAACCTCAGCCAACAGTAGATGTCGGTAACTATGAGATAGAGAATGTGACCCTCTGAGAGGAGAGGGCTGAGCTAGGCTCCTTGAATAGAAGAGGCTTATGCCTCCCTCATGCCACAGGCCCTCAGAAGTTGGAACCTCATGTGTCCTCTCTCTTTGGCGTCCTTCCTATTCCTCAGAGCACAGCTGTGTTGCTGTGTCAGCCTGAAGGTATTACTGGGCAGAGAAGTAAACCCTTGGCTTACACCCAGTGAGCAAGGCTTTGCTTTGATCAACACATCCGTTGTAAGCTGAAAACAGGAGCAGGCAGTGGGCTAATAAGCGAATTGAGATGTGGCTCTATTGACAAGTGCCAGAGGAGCTAATCACTCCACACACCTTTTTCTCAGAGCCTAGAGGACGAAGTCAGCTCAGTGGGGGCAGGACTTGGTGCCACCTTGGAGAGCTCCAGCTCAGGGTGCTCAAGGGGACTGGAGGAAAGAGCAGTTGGAATGCAGCTGCCTTTGGAAGCGACCTCTTGTGGTCAATTTAGGCACTGCACGCTGCATGAACTGGAACCCTCTGATGTGCTGGATAGAGTCAGAGGGTAGGGGAATTTCTGGTCCACATTTTCCTGTTAGAAGACAGTGAAAGCAAAAGGTGCTAGAGGCTGCTATTGTGCTTTCAGGAGTTTTGCTTTTGGGCTTCTGAGTTACTATATGCCTCTGTTAATCTGACTTCCCATGTTACTCTAGAGCGCAGCCATCCATACCATGAACGTGGAATGTTCATATCAGAGGCCAGTCCTGGGCAGATACTTTCAACTCACAAAGTACTAAGGCCATAGAGAAGAGGAAATCTTGCCAGGTGTGGTGGTGCACACCTTTAGCCCCAGTACTCGGGTGGCAGAGGCAGGTGGATCTCTGTGAGTTCGAGGCCAGCCTGGTCTACATAGTGAATTCCAGGCCAGCTGGGGCTACAGGGAGACCTTGTCTCAAAAAGACCAAGAGGCAAACTTAAGTATATCCTAGCCAGTCCCTTTAAAGAGCCCATGGGTAGAGCTTGTGCCTGACTCAGGAGGCCCTAAGCAGCATTGTCCCTCCTGCTGACAGTCTGGATGTTTGCTGAGGCCAAGCCAAACTAGGCCTTATGTAGAAGGGTTCAGTCTCTGGTTCTGATTCTAATATCTCAAGCCTCACTTGATAGAAAGAAGTGGAAGGAGAGATGCATCAGACTTTGGGCCTTGTCAGAGTCAGTGGTATTGAAAGTGGTTTGGTGTGCCCACGTATAATTCTATACCTGGAAAAGAAGTGGAAATGAGGCATTGGGGTGAATGAGCACTTGGGTTCCTGGGAGCCCACATACCTGTGGCATTAACCATGGGGCCTCTCATTTCACCTGCGATCTGTCATCCTAACTTCTTTGGGATAGTGGTTCCTATTCAACTGTAATTATCTCCCCCCTCCCCAAATATGGGGATGATTGATTGGTGAGTCCAGTGGGCCTTCTGGTCCCGAGGTCTGCATCTCATGTATTGACCATCTCTTCCCTCCAAAAAATACCATTCACATGGCTATTGCTTAAATTTTTTTCAAAAACACCATTTTAATAAGGAAACAACAGAAATAAAAGCTTGTTCTCTGGCTGGAGCCCAGACCCCATATGATACATCATATATACAAAGTGGCCTTCGGTCAGGATTGAACTTCTTCCTGCAGATTTCTGACCCCTGTTCCATGACAAATTCCTGGATCCTTGGGCTTCTGCTCCTCTCCAGAATATGCCTGCCCACTCCTGGCATGCCATAACACAGTGGCAGGAAGGGGGAGTCTAGCAAGTGGCTTGGAAGAAGGATTGATGGGAAAGGGGACATTTGTAACAGCCAGATAAACATCAAGGAAGGTCTCTGTCTCCTCAGGGTATAGGGATGCCAGGGAGCAGTGGAATGTCCTGCTTTGGTGTGGAGCATGAGTATCTGAAAGCCCAACCTGAGCTTGGGATGGAGTCCCTGAACCCATTAGGATCCCTTAAAGTTATCGCTTCCACTGGGACAGGGCAGAAGGCATAGCTGTCCAATTCTGGGTCTTTAGAGGACTAGAAACCTCCCTGAGGGGCTGGTTTTGGCATGCCAGACTACCCACAGGTCACCATTGAGAGCAGTTTTGCCCATTGGTGATGGCTCTGTGAGGAGTACTCTAGTCCCGTTTCCATTGCTGTCCAGATCTGCTGGAGTCTCCACATGCCAGGGCTGGATGGTGGCCATGTGGAGAAAGGTGCTTCTTATCTGCCCATGACTTCCAGATAGGAGTGCCAGGGCATGGGACAAGTCAGGAGAATGCTGGCTGATGGTGATATGTTCCAGCCATGTTCTATCCAAATCAGGTGCCCTCTGACTTGAACCCAAAGAAGGGCCCTAAATGGGCAGTGGTGCCAAGAAAATAGGCCATGGTGAGCATTGCAGGTAGGGAAGAGCACAATTTCTTGAGGGGTTGGTGATGTCTCTTCCCAGGTGGTATGTACAGGAGGTGGAAGGACAGCAGGGAGCTGGGAGCCCTGCCCCTGGGCTATGAGACAGGGCTGTGCAAGTGTCCCCAAGCTGCCCCCACCTAGATGGAAACTTCATATTCTCTCGTCTCCTGCAAAGGAAAGAGACTGCTGGGAGTTGGAAACTTGTATAAGGTTTGCCAGACCAAAACCCACCTTCCCAAGGAAAAGGGGAAGGTGAGATGGCTTGGCAGAATCCTCAAGGATACCCACCCAAGGAAGCAAAGAATTGAGAGGTGTCTAGGTCAACATGGATACTTACTCCAGTCTCATAAGTTGGATTATCAAACGCTGACTCCACAGTGATGCGGTTATAGAGGCGAGGACGAGTTCGGGGCAGTTGCAGGGGACTTTTCCCCTGGATCCTGTGGGGCAGAGAAGCCTGTGATTCAGGAGTGTGGGGCAGGAGTGAGTCAGGTATGCAATACAGGAAGAGAAGCCAGACTCACCTGGAAAAGTAGAGGTACACACCTCCCACCAGCAGCACCATGGCCACTAGTGGTAGGAAGATGACAGCTGTCATGTGGGCAGCATCCAGGGCGCTGGAGGTGGCAGGTGCCTTGGCAACTGAAAGCAGAGGATGGGATTGGAGCCAAGGTCCCTGTCACCTGGAGCCTGCTTCCCCTCCCTTCTCAAGGGCAGTCAGAGACCAGCTCCCTCTAGCTGGCTAGGGTAGGGAAGAAACCTTTTGCCTTGCTAGGCCCAAACTGCTCTTTCTCAGCCTTCTATCTGTGGGAACCCATGGCCTGGGAGCTGTGAGAACCAGGTGCAGGGGGACCACATTATCTGGCCCTCAAGCATGGGAACTCACCATCCAGGCTACGGCCGTTGTAGAACCCATCCAGAGAGGCTGGAACAAGAGGGGAGGGCCAAGGGCAGTGGGTGAGCCTGAGGGACCATGCCACCAATGCAAGGAAAGGAACACAGGAGTGGGCTGGTCCTGAGGAGGATTTGACCAGGGAGCGCCACTCCTGCATTGCCCTGGTGATGCCAGGTCAGAAATCCTGGCAGAGTGGGGAGGCCAAGATGAACAGGAAGGGGGCCGGGGCAGGTGCTTCTGGTTCTCAACAGGGATTTCTTTACTAGAGTAGGTCTATAGGCCAGACAGGGTTTTGAAGGTGTGGCAGGGCAGGGCACTCACCAGCCCTACAGATGGGTGGAGGGTCACTCCAATGCGAGGGGTGCCCAGGCACACACTTAATGCTGGCCTGGCCCTTCAGCACATAGCCAGGGGCACAGGAGAAGTGGACAGTGGCCCCTGCTGGGTGGAGCCGTTTCTCAGGGCTGCGGACACCATTCTCTGGGGCACTGAGCCCATGGCATGGCTTGAACTGTTCCACTGCAAGGCAGGCAGGCAGGCAGGTGAAGGTATCAGTACCCTCTCGTGCTAGAGGTTTCCCTCCTACCCATCTGGCACTTACAGAGACATTTGGGGGCCCGATCACTCCACTTGGGACTGCCAGCCTGGCGATCATGGCAGGTGAGGATGGCACTGCCTGTCAGCACAAAACCCTGGTCACAGATATACTGCACAGTGGCCCCCACAGGAAACTTGGGGCTGGATACCAGGCGTCGGCTATGTTCCACATCCCCTGGGTCATGGCAGGATGTCACTATAAACGGAGAGGGAGGGAGAGAAATAAGCAAGGCTCAGGGTTTGGGTATATAGCTCAGTTGGTAAGAGTGTGCATTTTTAACTTTTTAATTAAAGAATTTTTTATTTTATTTATTTATTTTTTGGGGGGGTGTCTTTTTTGAAGCAAGGTCTCCCTGTAAGCCCCAGCTGTCCTGGAACTCACTATGTAGACCAGGCTGGCCTTGAACTCACAGAGATCTGCCTGCCTCTGCCTCCCAAGTGCTGGGACTACAGGCGTGTACCACCACGCCCAGCTTTATTATTTTTATTTTATGTGTATGTGTGGATTGCCTGCATGTAGGTAAGTGCACCTGTGTCGTGCAATGCCCATGGAGGTCAGGAGAGGCTGTTGGATCCCCTGGGACTGGAGCTATGGACAGTTGTTAGCTGCCATGTGGGTGCTGGGATTTGAACCCAGATCTTCTGCAAGAACAACCAGTGTTCTTAACTGCTGAGCCATCTCTTCAGCCCCGATTTATTTATTTTTGTTTTATGTGTATGAGTATATTGCCTGTATGTATATAAGTGCACCCATGTCATGCAATACCCATGGAGGACAGAAGAGGGCATTGGATTCCCTGAAATGAGTTGTGGATAGTTGTTGCCATGTGGGTGCTGGGAATTGAACCTGTGTCCTCTACAAGAGCACCTAGTGCTCTTAACCACTGAGCTATCTCTCTAGCCCCTCAATTGGTAAGAGTGTTTGCATAACAGGCACTAAACCCTGGATTTGCTTGCCAGCACCATATCAACCAGCCCAGGTGGTGCATTCCTATAATTCTAGCACTCTAGAAGTGGAGGAAAGCCCAGCACTAGGGAAGTGGAGACATGGGGATGAGAAGTTCAAGGTCATTTTCAGCTACACAGGGAGGCTAAAGACCCTGCCTCAAAAAAAAAAAAAAAAAAAAAAAATGGTGGCACCTCGCCTTTAATCCCAGCACTTGGAGGCAGAGGCAGGCAGATCTCCTGTGAAAAAAAAAAAAAAAAAAAGAGGATGACTCGATGTTCAGTGAAGGCCAGTGCCACAAGCCTGATCAAGCCTCATGACTCTGCTCTCATTTAAATATCTGTGCCTTTCTTTTTTTGCAGTGCTGGAGATGGAATCTCAGACCTCATGCATGCCAGGTGGTACTCTACCAATGAGCTACAATTCTAGCCTTGTTTTACTTTTCTTTTTCACTTTATTCTTTTTTGAAAAAATTTATGTGCTTGCATGCGTTTATGTGCAGCACATGCATGCTGGAGCCCATGGAAGCCAGAAGAGGACCTGGGATCCCTGGAACTGGAGTTACAGGCAGTTGTGAGCTGCCTGATGTGGGTCCTGGGAACCCAACCCAGGTCCTCTGCTAGAGCAGTAAACACTCTTAATGCTGAGCCAGCTCTCCAGTCCTCCTCTTGTTTTCCTTTTGGAAACAGTATCTCACTCTGTATCTCAGGCTATCCTCCAACTCATGCTCCTCTTGTCTCAGCTTCCTGAATTTGGGCATTACAGGCATGTGACACTGTACCTGGCTGGCCCTACCATTTTTCTGATAGATCCCTTTCCATTCTTTAGGATCAACAAAGCCATTGGTCCCCTTCCCATGCATTAGAGTCAGCAAGCCCTGCCTGGTCATCAATCAGGAAGGAAATTCTTGTAGTTCTTAGCAGGAACCCAACAGCAAGGGATCATCTTCATTTGATATATAAGTAAACTTGAAGGCCATCGTAATGTGGATCATGCTTTTAATTCCAGCACTTGGGAGGCAGAGGCAAGTGGATCTGTGAGTTTGAGCCTGATCTACATAATGAATTCTAGGCCAGGACTATGTAGTGAGACCCTGTCTCAAGAAAGAAGGAGGAAGAGGAGGAGAAGAAGAAAACTGAGGCAACACAATGGAAGAACATCAAGAACACACCTGGAAATGTAACAGGTGCCAGATTCAGAACCCAGGAGATGGGGCACTGGTATACGCACCCCTCTGGCATGATGGCAGGTCCTCACTCCAGCTTAGGTCCCATTGGCACATGAGAACACTGGATCCCACCACCTGGTAGCCAGGATAGCACTGGTAGGTGACCACCGTGCCATGTACCAGCTCAGGCTGTGATGGGCTCTTCCAGCCATTGGGGATCTCAGGCAGCTCTGGACACGTGTCATTTCGGGGCACCTCTGGGGACACAGAGGGAGATGGCAGTCCCTCAGTCAGCACTGAAGTGACAGTGCTAACCCCCTCCTCTCAGGTCCCTTTGGTTCCTACAGATTGTCCTAGGCCTAAGACTGGTCTGGACAGGCCCAATGACTCATTCCTTCCTGATCAAGCCCCACCCCCCTTGCCTGTCCCCTGACATCACTGTCTCTAAAATCCTAGGATTATCATCTAGGCTTTGCCTCTATTTCTAGAAGCACCTTGGCCAATTCCTCAGGCCTGAGAGATGAGCAAAGTAGGATGAGAGAAATCGTCACTTCTGTTCAAGAGTGTCAGAAAAGTCAACTTTTCTCTAGTTGTTTCTGTTAGCAAGTTCTTGCTGCCTCCCCAGGTCCCTCTTGCTGTAACCAGAGGCTCCAGGTGATATCTGGTACCTTTTTAGCTTTCCCTTGTTAAAAAGAGCACTCAGTGTACTTGTCTTGTTCTCTTTGACTTGCCATAGTTTGTCGTCTACAATCTGAGTGAGATAGAGACAAGCTCACCAAAGAAGTGGATGACAAATCCCTGCTGGTAGCCCAGCACCGAAGTCCCAGGGTCTGACTGGAACTGGATGGTGACATCAGCCATGGAGGTAAAGAGCTTGAAGTGGCCACGGGGCCCTGAGTACTGACCCAGGACCCGGGCTGTCAGGTCATCCCCATCATAGAAGGTCAGTACATCCCCAGAGCTTATGCGCAGCCTGTAGAGGAGGAGGGTCAGGGCTGGACAGGCTAGGAAGGGAACCCCAGGATGGGCTGGACAAGAGGTGTCCCCAGCCTCAGGAGCTGAGACACTCACACTCTGACGTCCAGCATGATGCGCTTATCTTCTTCCACATGCACTCCCCAGATGCAGTCCTGCCCTCGGCCATAAGGCTCCGGCCAGTTTGGAGAGAGCACCACACCTGCAGAGTCTGTGATCTCCCCGCTGCACACGGCTGCAAAGCAGGGGAGACCAGGGAGGCGTTCCTCCAGGTTCCCCCCAGTGTGCTGTGCTGGGGCTGCCACCTGCCCACAGAAGTGCCTACCCATTGCTAGGAATCCCCACTTCCTCCCTCATGGGGAAGCCACGATCACATGTAACAGGGCCTCTGGCCCTTGGCTCTGTGACTGGCTCCTGGTACCTACCCTGCTTGCTGACCACCCCCACAGGCCCACCCACTGGAGCCTGCTGACCTCGGCAGGCTGGCTCTGTCTCATTCCACTGGGGGTCATGAGGGTCAACACACTCGATGATGATGGAGCCCTGCTCCAGGGTATAGCCAGGGTCACAGCTGAACTCCACGGTGGTACCCACAGGATAGGAGGGTGCGCTGCTGCTGAAGTTGCCATATTTGACAAAGGGCTCATAGCAGTGTCCCTGCTGGAAGGCTGTGAATCACAGGGCCCAGCTCAGGTCAACCTCCACTGGGATAGGCATCCTCCTACTTCCCTTTTCAGGGCCTTTTCTTCCTCAGTGCAAATGTGTGTCCTGGGCTTGGAACAGGAGGCAGGGGGACAGGACAGCCCAAGCATCCAATGCCATTTTGGTCAAGAGGCCATCTTGATTACCATGGTAGTTCTGTTGGCTAGTTTTGTGCTTGGTACACAGAAGATGCTCAATAATTTTTTGAGTTAACAAGCACACGCATGTATGCATGAGTCTAGAATGTCTCCTGCAGTGGGAGTTGGGGTTGGGGCCTGTTTTGTGTCTTAAAACCTGGAGAATTCATTCTCTTGGGCAAGAAGACTGGGGTCCAGGCAGAGGGCTCCTACAAAGAGGGAATAGGAATCTTGGACTGGAAGGAAGGAGCAGGTGCCTGATTAGGGAGAAGTGATGGGATGGAAGCAGAAAGGGGGAAGGTGTCCCTGGTTAGGCCCCAGCAGACTCACCCTCATAGCGCAGGGCCATGCCTGCAGCTGCCCCGTTGCTGTCAGTACTGAGCTCCACAAAGAAGTGTCGGTCAGAGCTGAGCAGACCCTCAATGGGCAGATATTCCACCTCATAGGAGTCGTACACAGGTGGGGCCTCCACGTTGTCCCCATTGCGGATGATGAGCCTGCGCCAGGAGAGTGGCAGCTCTGTAGCTGGTTGCTAACCCAGCCCAGGTGGCCCCAGGCATGGGGAACATCCTTCTAGTACAGTACTTCCAGGCCAGGCATCCCACCAGGATAGCCCCTTACCTGTCGTCATCCTCTGCCAGGGAGACCTTCTCAAAGTGCAGGTGTAGCCGTTGGCTCTCAGGAGCCTCTAACAGCCAGTGGCAGGTGAGGTTGTTGCTGTAGTTGCCCGGGAAGCCGGGAGAGATAATGCGACCAGTGGTGGCATTGTGGATCACTCCACCACAGGCAGCTGTGGGTTGCAATGGACTTAAGCTTTGTCCCTGCCTGCATTCCAGTCTCCAAAGCCCCTTTTCCCATTCCAGTCCTGTACCATCTGCATGGGTAGCAGGGACCTTTGCCCACTCTGCCATCTCTGCTATGGTGGCTCAGAAAGCCAGCCTTGATGCCCTGTGACTCTGCAGCTCCTGAATCTCGCCTGCTGACCATCCACACTCACTTCTGAGGTATCATGTGCAGCTTTCCTGACTGTAAAATTTGTCACGCTTGCCTTGGCCATGGGCAAGCAACTTTCCTCTCTACTGACCCTTCTAGGAAGCATTTCCTGATTCCTCCAAGCTGACAAGTTAAAACCCTTATTCTAGGTTCTTGGGTTTATCTGTTCTCCTCTACTTTTTGTCACTTTTCTTTTTCTCCTCTCCCCCCTCCCCCTTCCCTCCCCCTTTCCTCCTTCCATCCTTCCCTTTCTCTTTCCCATCCCCTCCTTTTCTTTTTTTTTTGGAGACAGGGTTTCAGGTAGCCCAGGCTGGTCTCAAACTCCCTGTGTACCAAAGGATGATGTTGAACTCCTGATCCTCCTGCCTCATCTCCCAGGTACTAGGATTGTAGGCATGTGCTACTGTACTTGGCTTCCTTATTTATTTATTTAGTTAGTTATTTAGTTATTTTGGTCTTTTTGAGAGAGCATCTCCCTGTAGCCCTAGGTGGCGGGGAACTCACTATGTAGACCAGGCTGGCCTTGAACTCAGAGTGCTGGGACAAAGGTGTGTGCTACCACACCCAGTGTATGTTTGTTTTGAGACAGGCTCTCACTTTGTAACCTTGACTAACCTGTAGCTTGCCATATAGACCAGGCTGGTCTTAAACTCATAGACATCTGCCTACTTCTGCTTCTCAAGTGCTAGGATTAAAGGCATGTGCTACCATGCCTGGCTAAAATCAGTTACTTGTTTGGGTCTCTCCCGTAACTAGGACCCCTCCACACCTGGGATAGAGACTATGTCTTCCAAGTCAGGTTCATAGTTGGTTTTTCAGTGTTAGATGAAAAGAGTAAGTGAGTGAATGTAGAGGGAGGACTAGTCAGGGATGACTATTGCCCCTGGCAGACTGCTAGCGAGAGATGGCCTCTGATACCTTCTGCAGTAGCTCTGTAGCCATCACTACAGTGTCATTCCTTGGCTGACTGCTGAGGCCCTCTCAACACTGACTCCTTAGCCTGGAACTGCCTTATTTTGACCCAAGTAAGACTGAGTTGCTCACCCGGGCCCAGCAGCCTGGGTCATTCAACCACAGAGCTCGTGGAAGATAAGTATGTCAGAGAAGGGGCCTGAAACAAGAGGTAGCTGATTCTGGGCAGTTCTTGCTCTTCCTAGACACACAGATCTGGCCATTCCTGCTCTCAGAGACTACCATGGCCCATACGCAGTACCATTGCTTCCAATGGCTCCAGACAACAGAATAGCCAAATCAAGGTCTTAGAGCCCAGGATGAGTCTTATCTCTGTTCTCTACAGAAGGGGAGCCTACCTGTCTGCTTGATCTCAGCATGGAACTGTTCTTCAAATCTAATCACAACCCAGGCATGCTAGCACATACCTTTAATCCCAGCACTTGGGAGGCAGAAGCAGGCTCAGATCTCTAAGCCAAGCCTGGTCTACATAGCAAGTTCCAGGCCAGCTGGGACTATAAGGGAGATCCTGTCTCAAAAACACCAAAAAACAAATAAGCAAACAAAACAACCCCCCAAAACAAAACCAACAGCAACAAAAAATCTAATCACATCTTATCTTTGGCTTAGAATTGCTTAGTGGCTCCCTATTGCTCTTGGAATGGGGTTCAAGCCCTTTATTACTGGGACTCTCCATTCCTTTTCAGTCTTCCCCCACCAAAAACTCTTTCAGGCACACCTCACTGTGTCCTCACTGGGTCATGCTGTTTCTTCATCTCCACATGGAATCCACCACACTGCCTTGAGCTGACATTTCTGGAAGCCTTCCAAGCCATTTCTGTAGGAAGCCTTCCTGGCCTCCAGTTTAGAGCAGACCTCCCTCAGATTACTGCCACACTGAGATCACCCCTATTCCAGTATCTACATTGAGCTGCTTGTTAGACTCTTCAACTCTTCACTTGATGCTTCTCAGAGCAGAGAGCATATCTACCTGAGCTCTCTGACCAGTACCAGGGAGAATATGGAAAGTTAAAAAACCAAAGTCTCTTTCCTTCCAGGAAAGAGAAAAGCGCAAGTTGCCTGTTTTACAGCAGACCCAACATTCCTTCCCCATGAGCCTTCTTGGGTTGGTAACCACCTGGGACGAGAACTGAGGGTCTTTTTTCACTTTCCCTGGCTCAGTGTCTCTGAACTTCTCTCTTCCCCATTCCTAAAGACACTATCCTGTTTCAAACTTCTAGCTAGCCTTTAGACAACCACTGGCTGTCTCCCCTGAGGAACAGTTTTGAGCTTATTTCCTCCTTCCCCCAAAACTCAACATCTGTCCACCTAGTGTTTTGGCCTGACAGTCAAGGTCCTTTCTAATATCCACTCCACCTGGCTGTCTTCTGTGCTGTTAACACCCTCTTCTTTCTGTCCCTATATCACTGCCTACATTGTTCTTCTGTATTGAAATGTCAAACCATTGCTACCTTCCTCTAGTGAGTCACCTCAATACCAACTGAGAGTTAATAACTGTTTTGTCCCAAGGTAATTTCATCTTTTTCTCCTTCCTCTCCCTCTCTTCCTCCCTCCCTCCTTTCCCCTCTCTCTGATGAGGCCTGGCTATGTAGCCCAGGCTAGCCTAGAACTCACAGTCTTCATATCTCAGCCTCCCCACTGCTGGAGATTACATATGTATACCACACCACCATGCCTAGCAATTTCATGTCTCTTCCTTGATACCTTTTGCTCCCTGCTCTAGAAATTCGTGATCTGTGTCCTTTTACCCATTTCTGGAATTGTGGGGCTCTGAGGGCAGAATCCCTGTTTCATTCAGGCCCCTTCTCTATCCCCACTTACCTTCCTTGAACTCTGTGGTTGAAAGACCCAGGAACCCTCACTGCTGGGCCCAGGTGAGCAACTCAGTTTTTCCTTGGGGGAAAAAAAGGTAGTCCCAAGCTGGGGGTTGAGGGGGATGTCAGTTTAGAGAGGTCTTTAGCTGTCAGCCAAGGAGTGGCAATGTAATGATGGCTGGAGAGCTACTTCAGAAGGTATCTGGCCACCTCCAGCTAGCAGTCTGCCAAGGGCACTAATCATCCCTGACTAGTCCTGCCTTTACATTTACTCACTCACTGAAAACCAACTCTGAGCCTGACTTGTGATGCTGGCATATTATAGTAGGAGTTCCATAAATGTGGGTTGACTCAGTACCACTGAGGTGTATGATCATTTTCTGATGGAGAGGGGAGATGGCTCCTACCTTCCTCCTTTGTTTGGCACTAAGCCTTCTCTATTGGAACCACTCACCAATGCAGACAGGTTCCTGGGAATTCCAGAAGGGCTGGGTGGCATTGAGACAAGTGAGGAACCTGGCACCCTTCAGCTGGTAGCCAGTGGCACAGTGGAAGCGGGCGCTGCCTCCTGGGTGGAGGCTGGTGACAGTCACATCTCCATAAGCTGGACGTTGGGGAAAGTGGCAGCTTAGGAGATAGGCTGTGAAGAGAGAATGGGTGACTGTGAGGAGTGGGGAGGCCTGCACAGCCTGCTTCTCCAGGTATCATTTGGGCCAGAGGCAGTATTAGGAGTTAAAAAAAAAAAAACAACAAAAAAACCCACTCATTCTTTATCAAGCCAGTGAGGGTTGGTTCGCAGAACGGTAGAGAACTTGAAGCTCAGAGGCTTAGGTTCTGATCCAAGTCCTGTGACACATTAGGCAGTCTACCTAAGCCTTTGCTGTGTGTGCATCCTTACTAAGTGAGGTTCAAAATGCTTGCCATGCTTGGTGGTACACACCTTTAATCTCAGCACTTGGGGTACTGAGGCAAGAGGAGCTTGGGTTGAAGGTCAGCCTGGGCTACACAGTAAGACCTTGTCTCAAAGCAATAACCAGGAGCTGGAGAGATGGCTCTTGCAGTTCCCAGCACCCACGTGGCAGTTAACAACTGTCTGATGCCATCTTCTAGCCTCCATGGGCATTGCATGCACGTGTTGCATTTACATGTGGCAAAACACTCATACACATAAAAGTGACAACCAAAGCAAACCAAGCTACCAGCTCTCTGGCACTTAGATGATTGTCTTCTAAAAGTGTTTTTGGGGCCTGGGTATGTATAATAGCTCAGTGGTAGAGTGCTTGCTTAGGTTTGAACTTTGGTGCTGAAAAAAAAATATGGATGACTTGTAAGCATTATTTCTCCTGTAGGAAGCAAACATGAATTTTAGAAGGAAAGATTAGAGTCAGACAGCAAGTTTTTCCCAATATTCCCGATTTTTAATGAAAAATGTTAAAAAAAAAACTTGATAGCAACAGTAAAGGACTTTTAAAGTCAGGGTGGGGTGAGTGGGAGAGGTTCTTGAGCCTTCTGGAATTTGGAAGTGGGACTAGTTACTCCAGGAAACCTGATGTTTTGCAATTGTCATACCATATATGACCGCATAGTGGCAGCAAATCCTATAAAATTGCCTGGTAAATCCCAAGTCTGTAGGGAAATCCTGATAATAGCTAAAAATGGGGGTCCTGGCTTGGGTCAGGGAGGTGGGAAGAATGGAGCAGTTCAGGAGAGAAGTAAAGAAAGCATGATTGGTGCCTTTACTTTTTGGTGAATAGGAAAGGGGGCTGCCTTTGGGCAGATTCCTAAAGCTTGAATTAGCTATGACTCAGTTTTGAGACTTGTCACCTGTCTGTAACTTTGAAAACAGGAGGCTTTTTGAGAGAATGACCAGAAAGAGGCTCATTGTGGTTGACAGGTGGTTCAGAACAACGCATAAGAGTTGGGCTCTGTGGTCAGACTGCCTGGGTTTGAATGCAGGCTTCCCTTCCTTGAGCCACCTTGGGCAAGCTACCTTCCTTCTTTGTGTCTCAGTTTCCTTGTTTAACCAACCATTTAGTGTTGCATCCAATGCTGTGGAGGTTAAATGAGAGGACATGTGTGCAGTGCCTGGCACAGAATACACACCAAACACCCCACAAGCTGCTAGTGTTTGTGATCTTGACTAAGAACAGCATCTCACCTTTGCTGTTCTTTGCAGCTCCTTAAGTCCACACCCTCCTTACTTGGTACCTATAATATACTTGGAGGAAAGAAGGCGAGGCTGGACTTAGTAACCAGTGTTCAGATACGCAAAGCTAAGATTCAGAGAGGCTATGGCTCAGGGAGCCTGTGTATGATGATCACACTGCAAGTGAGTGATGGGGTGGGGCTCTCTTAGCTCTCCACCATCCTTACCCACTGCGACCACTAGGCTTCAGTTAAAATGGAATCCTGGCCTTAGGGGCCAGAGAAACCTGAGAGTAACAGGCAAGGCTGGCCTTGTAGATTGTTCAGCATGTCAATCTGGCACTATACCCAGAGTGGAGGGGTGAGGGGCTAACTGACACCCCATCCAAGGTGCCAACTGGGAGCAAGGGCCAGGTGTCAGATTCAGCTGTTATGCTTTTATTTTCCCCAGTACCATCAGGGAAGGGAATTATTCTGTTTCATAGAAAGGGACACTCTGGGCTGGGATGAGGTAAAAGGAGGAGGCTGATATCACTGGGAGGTGCCCCCAAGACTCCATAATGGGTAAGTGCCACTTCCCAAGCTGAGCTTCCTCCTATTGCCATGACAACCAACCTTTTGCAAGGGAGTCTGCACCACCACAATCTGTTGAGTTATTTTCTTACTGGTGGCTGATTCTGGAGCCAAGTCCAGTGCCAGGAATGCTTAGATGGAGAAGGGAGGGGTCTGTCAGGTGCTTTGCCTCCCATCCTGTCTGAGGCTAGGCCAGGGGGATTAGAACTAGGTCCTGACTCAAGGCCCTTGTGGAAGCCCACAGTCGTGACAGCCATCATCAGCTGCGACAGCTCCTGCATGGGTGGGGTTCCCAAGCCCCTCACCCACCTTCTTGGCACCCACTTTCTCTAGCCCAGGAGACATGTGTGAGCACACACTCCTCCTGTTCCCATCTCTGGGATCAGGGCTAATTACGGCCTGTAATTAGGGGAATTATATTCATTAAGTAAAGAGCTGATCATTGACAAAAACTGGGCAAAGAGGGAGGACTTCTGGGACAAAGAGCAGGACTGGGCGGGCTCTCCTAGGGATCTGCTCTCCCATGCTGGGCCTCTTGCCCCATTGCATTCTATCACTTTTGTCTGGCCCCACAAAGAAAGGTCTGGAGTTTTGTGCAAAGGAATTTGCACCAAGACAAAAGGTTACTGTGGTGTGAAATTATGCCTGCTGCTGGGGAGGACCGATGAGCCATTAGGGAGACTGGAGGGGCTGCTCTGACATTCACTCTGCCTCAGCTGGCCCTTGTCTTGGCTGAGTCCCTGTACAACCCCTGCGTACCACCAGGCTCCCTGCTGTCATACTGGATAGCTCCCCTAGTTTGGGTGGTAAAGCCTTGACAAGGTGAGTGCTCTACAGGCAGGTTCAGAGCATCCACTGCTCCGGAGTGCCTTCTGGCTGGCTGCTGTTCCACCCTGCAGGGAGGCAGAAGTGATCTGAGACAATGCAAGACAATGTCTTGATTGTTCCCACCATTTACTTCCCCATTAGCACTCTGGAATCTGAATTAAGGTTAACCAGTGCAAAGGATCAAGCTGACTTCCTACCTGAGGAAGGAAACAGGCTAGAAGTATACCTATAGAGACTCTGCAAAGCACCAAGTCCCTTTTCCTCCCTCTCCCACCCTGCAAACAGTACAATACTAGCTTCCTTAATAGAGCACATGCTAAAAACACTTGGCATGCACATTTTGTTTACTCCAAACCATGTCTTTGTGTGGTAGATGGTTTTGCCTCATCTTACAGCAGGAAAAGGTAGATCAGATAACGGTGGCCCCTGAAAGGCATGAGTGCAGGAGGTGGGGTGGGAAGACTGCTTCAGCTTTTTATATAAACATTAATTTCTAGCTGGCATGGTGGCTCATGCCTGCAGTCTTGACACTCAGGAGGATTGTGAGTTTGCGGTCAGCCTCAACTACGATGCAAGACCCTGTCTCAAAAATAAATACATCTGGGCATGATGGCATTTGGGAAGCAGAGGCAGGCCATGCTCTGTGAAATGGAGGCCAGCCTGATCTACAGGGAGACTATAGTGTGTTATAGGCCAGCTGAGGCTACTGGGAGACTCTGTCTTAAAAAATATAAACAAATAAATAAATCCTCAGTGGTGAAATGGCTCAGTGGGTAAAGGTGCCTACTGCCGAGCCTGACAACCTGAGTTTAATCTCCAGGACCCACATAGTGGAAAAAGAACCCCCCTCCTAGTTGTCCCTTAACCTATACAAACATACGCATACAATAAATAAAGAAATAATAAACATTCATTTCTTTTAAGACTACTGAAATGGCTAAAATAACTCCCTTTTGCTCTACCTGACTTTACCCTGTGTTTTTGCCCAGCTATTCCCACTGCAGTCAGCCAGGCAGATCGTCTCATGCAGGTAGTTTCAGAAAGTACATTGTTTCTATAATACTGGAAACTTAGAAGTAGTCAGATAGCACATCCTCCTTCCCAGGTATACATTCATCTCTATGAGTCCATTGTTTCTACAATTCTGAGAAACTTGTTTTTTTCCTTATCAAAACTTTTTGTTAGCTAAAAACCTCTTTGTTAACTGACCTGCCCCTCTGGTCTGGTGTAACTATGGCGATCTGATGTAATTGTGGCTTTAAGCTTTATAAACCCTGCCCTGCCCTGCTTCTCCTCTGGGTCAAGAGTTCCTTTGGGCATTAGCTTCCTCTCTGACCAACGGCTGTTAATAAAGGACTCCTAAGTCGACCATCACTGTGTGGTGTTCCTCTGTACATCTCGCTCAGTATTACACTATAAGTAAATATGTGACGATATTGGCTAATTCTGAATTGTGGTATGTGGGCATCTTGTATTATTTTTCATACTTTTCTGTATTTTCAAAATTTCTCTCAAAAATTAATAAGAATTGGGATGAAGGTGGGGACTTGGACTCTGTACCTATAGAAATGTTACAATGGACTAATTCCCAAATACTAAACTTATTATAGAAAATATTTCTAAAACTTTATCTGCAATGAATGGATGGACTTGATTCTTTATGTAATATGAAATTATTTTATTTACTGTTTTTGAAAAAGGGTTTAACTATGTAGCTCTGATTAGCCTGGAACTTACTATATAGACTACCAGGCTGACCTTGAACTCAAGAGATCTACCTACCTTTAATTAAAATAAAAATTGAGCTCTATGTGGTGGTGTATGCCTTTAATTCCAGCACTGGAAAGGCAAAGGCAGGAAGATTTTTGTTGGTTCAGGGCCAGCCTTGTTTACATAGTGAGTTCCAGGCCAGCCAGGGATATACAGTGAGACCCTGACTAAAACATAAATAAATAAGAAATAAAACAAAATTAAAAATGAATGACAGAGATGGCTCAGTAGGTCACGGTAGTTACTGCCAAGACTGATGACTTGAGTTTAATCCCTGGAATCCACATGGTGGAAGGAGAGAACCAAAATTGTCCTCCCACAAAATAAATAAATAATAAATGAATAGATAATTGTTAAAATGAAATAAAAAATGATAGCATAGCCAGGTATGGTGGTGCATGCCTTTAATCCCAGCACCTGGGAGGCAGAGGCTGGTGGATCTCTGTGAGTTCAAGGCCAGCCTGGTCTACATAGTACGTTCCAGGCCAGCTGGGGCTACAGGGAGACCCTGTCTCAAAAACACCAAAAAAAAGAAAAAATTAATAGCATACTTAAAAAAAAAATTGGAGGAAAGGAAAGGCAGAGAGGTAAAATTACCTGCCTGGAGTCAACAGCTGTAGAGAAGAAGATTCAAGTACATACAGATCTGCCCATCCCCTTAGTCTGAGATTTGTCCATTTCATCATGCCATGCCCTTTTCCTGAGGCATTCTGAGAAGCCACCAGGCATAAGCTAGATCCCAGGCAGGTGGGGAGGTCAGGCTGGTTAGCTGAAGATCTCTAGATGGTCATTGTCAAGTCCCTTAGACAGGCTGTAATAACACCAGTGCCACTCAGGAGAGCAGCTGGTCTTGGCTGGCTCTTCTTTAGGCTGCTCAGGACTTACCTTGGTAGTGGAAATGGAAAGTGCCAGGTCTAGCAGGTGGTGGAAGGCTTTGGAATCTCAGGGCTGCTTGGTGGGTGGGGCTGCGGATGACTTGGCCCCTCAGCAGGAAAGACTGGTTGGCTAGGAGCAGTGGGTCAGGCCCACCCCAGCCCTCCATGGTTATGGTCTCCCCTTCCTGGAGACTGATGTTCTCAACCTGCAAGTGAACGGGAGAGCAAAGCAGAGCAGTCAGACTTCTTGCTGCTTGAGCCCTGCTGTCCTGTGGCTTCTGCACCTTGGAGCCTCCAGGCCCTACACAAGGCACCTCACACAGGAGGAGCTTATCACACAGGAGGAGCTCAACCGGAACTTCTCATAACCTAGATGGACCTGAAGGTCAGAGGTATTGAGCACATTACGCAGGTTCACATAGAGATCATGAGGAGACCTACTTGCTTTCTACCATTTCCTTCCCTGGTCTCAGTTCTCTCATTTGTAGAGGTGCTGGGTCAGCAGTATGAGTCCCTAAAGTATCAGACGTATGTGCCCAGCTTCTTGGACATTTCTGATGGATGTTGCACAAGCTCCTTACACCCAGCCTGCCTTATGATGAGCTACCTCTTCCCAAACTTCCAGCACTACCTGGGTGCCCACATCAGAAACTGGCATCTTGCCTCTTCACTCATGTCCCACATCCAATCTGTCATTCAGTCTGTCAAGTAGACTGCAGATCTATTCACTAGTCTTTGTCCTCACTGCCACTTCTCCACCTCATCACTATTATTGCTCACCTAGATCAGTGCAGTGGCCTCCTGGCCAGGCTTCCTGCCTGGAGGGCTTAACCCACTCCTTCCTCCACATCAATATTTTCTGAATTGCAGCCATTAATAGTCTCAAGCTTGCTACTCAGCATAGTGCTTTCTTGTTTAAATCATCCACACTGAGTCTGTGAAGCCCATGGCACTAGTCCAGACTCTGCTTGGCCCTATGGCTCTGCCCAACATGGTGCCTGCTGGCCCCTCAGTTTGGCCATATGTCATACCACAATTCTGTTCCTTCTGTTCTCTGGCTGATACTTTATCTGTCACAGGCCCCGTTGCTACCACTCTGATCTTCAGACCCTCATTCCTTATGCATGCTTCTTGGTGCCATGCCTCCAATCAAACAAGGATCAGACAATAACAGAGTGTGATCAGAGGGGAAAGGGTACTGTGGGTTGGTAGAGCACAGGGTTAGGAGCCCAGAGATCTAGGAACTGGACCCTGTGATCCTGGACAAGTACACTATTTGGATTTCATGGGTTTTTTAGTTGTTTTCTTTTTAATAAAAATCTCATTATGTGGACCAGGCTGGTCTCAAATTTGTGATCCTTCTGCCCCAGCCTCTTGAGTGCTGGGATCACAGGTGTGTGCCACCATGCCCAGCAGATCTACTCAAAATGAGATCCCTAGACCCGGGGCATCTACATCACCTGGGAACTTTGAAGAAAAGCAGAACTGGGGTGGGGGGAGGGGAGAAGGACCAGGTTTGAATCCCAGCACCCACATGGCAGCTAACAGCCATCCATAACTCCAGTTCTAGGGGATCCGACACCTTCTTCTGTCCTCCACAGGCAGTGCAGGACACAGGTGCACTTATGCATGCAGGCATAACACTCAAACACATAAGATAAAAATAAATTTAAAATTTTTTTTAATGCTTAATGTTTAAGAAAAGCAGAACAGGGGTTGGGAATGTAGCTCAGTTGGTAGAGTGCTTGCCTAGCAAGAAGCCCTGGTTTGATAGCACTATATAAACCAGGTGTGGTGGTACATGCCTGTAATCCCAGCAGTTGAGAGACGGAGATAGGAGGATCAGAAGCTTAAGGTCATCCTTGGTTATATAGCAAGTTCTAGGCTAGCCTAGGATGCACAAGACCCTGCCTCCTCTCCCCTCGCCCCCCAAAAAAGGAAGGAAAAGAAGAAAAACAAACCCTCGGACCCCACCTCAGATCCATAAACTCATACCCTACATTTTATTACTATTATTATTAGTAGTAGTAGTAGTATTTTGGTGTATTTGAGACAGGGTCTCCCTGCAGCCACAGCTGGCCTGGACTCACTAGGGAGACCAGGCTGGCTTCGAACTCACAGAGATCCACCTGCCTCTGCCTCCCAAGTGCTGGGATTAAAGGCGTGAGCTACCACACCCAGCTCATATTCTACATTTTAATGAGATTCCTGAGCAGTGGAAACTGATCTCCGAGCTCTAAGGGCTCTACCACATTGCTCAGAAACTGACCCTTCAAGGATTAACCACCTGCTGCTGCTGGTTAAGTGGCACCCAGTGAGTCACCAACCCTTCCCAATCTTATCTTCCAGGCATTCCAGCTGTTTCCTCCCCCTTCTCCTCCCCCTCCTCTTCCTCTTCCTCCTCCTCCTCCTTCTCTTCCGTTGTAGTCTGGGCTCAGATCACCTCTCGCCCACTGTTTCTGAGAATGGACTCTGACTATAGCCTATCCCATCTGTTTGTACTCACATCCCAGGACTGACTACCCCAGACCAGACTTCTCTCCCACTCAAACCCTACTGGTGGCTTCAGATTGCCAGAAAACAAGGTCCAAACTTCTCTCACATATTCAGCTTTAGTGGCTTTGCCAGCCTCAGTTCCCTGCCCTGTGACCACAAAAGCTCCGCTGTCTTTTGCCCCTCTGGGCATTAGCACAGGAATTACCTTCCTCTCTTTCCCACCAGGTGAAACCAGCCCTCCTCCTTTGTCTCCCAGAGCAAGCCATCAATCACTCTTCTTCAGGCTTTCCCCTCCTCATCTTTGTATTTAAGCCTGGTGTGGCACTTTGGTTCAGGATACCACCTTCATAGACTAGTCTCAGCGCAGATGGATGGAATGAATGTATATGGGCCTCTGGAGGTATATCCCTGTGAGCTGAAAAGCACACCATGCTGAGCCCAGTCAGGTCCAAGGAGATGGGTGCTACCAGGCTTTTGGGGGGGGGTCTGATTGTAGCTGCTGAGGATAGATATGCTCTGGGGGCCATAGAGGGGACAGCTTGGCAGGAGAAGCCCCATCCCTGCCAGGGAGGAAAGATTAGGTAAGTCTAGAAATGATGGACAGAAGGTTCAAGGCAGGATGCTGGGGACAGAAACACCTCCTCTGTGCCAGGAGCTCCCCACCCAGGCACATTTGGGTGGCGGCTGCCTGACCATCTGCTGGGGACATCCCTCAAGGAATCCCTAGCAGGCGGAGGCTGGATGAGGTCCGTTCAAACTTGGAGATTGTGTGATGCTAGAGTTGGGAAAACAAGCCTCACACACGTGGAATCTGTAATTATTGGGAGCTGCCAGGCAGCATACAATTCTGCCTTAAGTGGCACTGAATGCAGGCAGCAGGAATCCTCGAGGGGAGACCAGAGGACTTGGATGCTCCCAGAACGGCATGGAGCAGGTGGGTCTCAGAACATCTTGAAATGTTGGGAGCTGGGCGAAGGAGAAGTCAGGTATTGGAATCAATGAAGCCTTTTCTTCCTAGTTCCTCATGTACCTCCAGCTTGACCTCTAACTTCCTGCTCCTGATCTTGTTGCTCTACTGGGACCAGAGGGTGGGTGCAACAGCAGCTATAATAACAATTACCATTCATAGAGCATCTTCAATATGCCAAGTCTCTCAAATCTTCCCAAATAAGCAGAGGCTCAGAGAAGCTAAGAACTTTGAAAAGGGCACACAGCTATTAAGCAGAGTCTTGCCTTGTTGGAGGCAAGCTCCCTTCCCTCCCAGCCTCTTGGGGGATATCACCTGCAGAAATAGACTTCTAGACATCTTTATTCCCAGGCTCCAGGGCCCCAGGTTTAGCAGGAAAGTGGATTTGGGCTTGGCCTGCCCTGGCCTTTTCAAGATATTGGGATTTGAGTTCCCATGAGCCATTCTTTTTCTTGGCAACCTGTAAAGCTGGGGAAATTGGGAGTTGAAACCTCTGACCTCCTTCTGTGGGTCTGGCAAGGGGTCTGGCTCCCAGCTCAGCATGGGGGTGAGGGCTGGGATGTGCCTCCCATCTAGAGGCTCCCTGAGCAGTTTAGGACTAGATGTGCAGAGCTGATCCCCTGGGTTTTGAGTACCCACTTGCAGGCCTGCTGCAAAAGCTGGGATGTAATTTGTCACTTGTTGGAGGGCCAGGCTGACAGGGGCCAGACAGGGCTGGGTGTTGGACAAGGGGGGAGATGAAGTCTTGATGTAATTTGCAGGCATCTGAAGAGCCAGGAAGGCAGATTGAAATGTCAGCTCTACTCATGAGGGCTGTCTTCCCACACCCCATCCAGTGACAGGAGGGGCCCTGGGGGCCAGGCAAGAGGAGACAGAAACAGAGGGAGCTTGGAGGACAATTCCCACAGGACCCTGGGCAGTCCAGCACTGTCCTGCCTCTGGCAGATGAGGGGGCAGTTCAAGGAGAAAAAACTGCCACTTTGATGAGGCTGGTCCTTCTGGATGGGAAGTAGGGCAAGCTCAGATTGTCTTCTGCCAACCCCTAGATCACCTGCCTTGTCTGTCCTGTCTGACCAAGTTATACACATCCCAATGGTGTAACTCTCCCAGGCAAGTGAAATGATGCCACTGTCTTGACACAGATTTATATTAGTACAACCCTACACAAGCAGAGGATCCCAAGGCTGCATCTGTGTCCCACCCCCACCTCCCCTGGTCACAGTTCTACAAGATTCTTGGTCACCACTCACACATCCAGCAGAGGCCCTAGCTGGCAGCTACTAAAAAGCAAAGCCAAGGCCTAAGGGGCCACTACACAGGAGCTTCCTGAACCCAGAGGAGGAGCCACACTCAGAGGGACAGGACAGGAGAAACCAATCTGGGTTAACTGTCTTTTAATGGAGAGAGCAACTAAGGCTCAGAGAAGGCCAGGGAGAGGTCACTGAGAGGTTACAGAGGCAGGACTGAAAGGCTGGCCCTATATAAAGACCACTTTAGGGATGGGAGAAGTGGGGGGCTAAATCCATGGAGTCAGACCTTCCAGCAACACTCAGATGGGCTTTCCTGGATCCAAGAAATAAGAAACTGCCCCAAACCTCCACCCTAACCCCTTACTCTCTATTGATGCTCATGTCAGGTCTGGTCTTGACCCAGCTTAGTAGGGTAGGGTGTTCTGCCTATCAAACTGACAGCTGGCCTGAGAGACCTATGTGCCAATGTGACCACCTAGGCATGAGGGCAGGGATAGTGGGCAGCTGTGCCCAGGCTCCAGATGGTATAGAGAATGGCCAAACCAAGATGGAGGCTGGCAGAAGGAAGGCTCTTGGAATGCCAAATGCAGTGAAAGGCAGGCACCAGGCCCAGAATGGCCTAGAGTCCTCATGGGAACCTGGCTGCCTGGGGAGAGGACAGGAGCCATATGGACCATGGGACTCTTGTCCATTGTCCTGAAGGGCTTCTCTGGAACTTTCAGAAAATGCCTAGCCCAGTTCCTGACCTCCAGATGAAGCAAGCCAGTCTCTTTAGACATGGAGGGCCTGACCTGGCCTCCTCCTGGCTCGGACCCTCAGAGGGCACCAAGAGTTGTGGCATTATGGAGAGAGGGGCAGGCAGAGGGTGGAGTAGATTATGGAGGGCTGTGACCCAAGTCAGGAGAACTAGGCTTGCAGAGATTCTGATACTTCTGAGGTTGCTCCTCAAAACAAAAGGAGGGGGGGGTTTATGTGTTGCCTTGGGTCTCAGGTATTAGGCAAAGGTGGTAGTTATATGACAGGTGCTTCCTGGCTTAGCAAGGCTGACCTCAGTCAGGAGAACTAGGCTTGCAGAGATTCTGATACTTCTGAGGTTGCTCCTCAAAACAAAAGGAGGGGGGGTTTATGTGTTGCCTTGGGTCTCAGGTATTAGGCAAAGGTGGTAGTTATATGACAGGTGCTTCCTGGCTTAGCAAGGCTGACCTCAGCAGGCTGACCTGCTCAGGGGTGTGATTTGTGAGCCCTTAGTCCAGTCTTCTCCCTGGCTTCTCACATCTCCCTTGCTCAACTCCAACCCCCTCTTGCCTTGGTGAGCCTAGTGAACTCAGGGGCAGACAAGGGTTACCCATGATGGAATCCTGCTCCCAACCCTCATCCCCTGCTCCTATTTGACATTGCTGCCTTTCAAAAGCAGCCAGGGAAGAAGCCTCTAGAGGCCAGGCTTGCTAACCCCTATTCCCCTCCAGCCCAGGTGTGACTGTTGGCCCATCATCCTGCAGGCCTCAGAGTAGGTGTTCTCACCTCTAGGAAACCTTCTGGACTCCCAGGTTTGAGGAGAAGCACCCTGGGCCTGGAATTCCACAGCCCTTCTAGGTGCCCCACGCCTTGTGGTCACTGCTTATGATTTCCATCCCTGATCAGGAAGATCTGTCCCCCTTGTCCAGTACAGAGCCTGGCATGTAAAGTTAGTGCCCAGTTTGTGTTTGTGAAAAAAACCTATTCATCAAAGGTCATTAGTTAATGAATTACTGAAGAATCTTAGGCAATTCCCTTTCTTTGCTTAGCCCCTAGTTTCCCCAACTATTTAGTGGATATATTGATCTACACTATCAGTAATTCTTCAGGTTTCAAGTGGCCTGTGTGGTGAATCCTTGAGAACTAGGTCTGAGGGAGGTGGCCAGAAATGGCCCTGACTTTACATCCTGTCTTGGTTGTTGTCTCTCTTGTTCTTTCCCTAAAGTGGGTGGTGACCCAGCCCTAATCACTCCATGTCCCCCACCGCCTCAGATTCTGTCTCAGGCCATTGGGGACTACAGTGTCTTCAAGGACTCTGCTCCTATGGGGCTAAAGTGGAGGGTGAGCCAGCACATGCCATGTTTCCTGATGGCAATCTAGGGCTGTGGCAGGCCTTCATCTCAAGGTTGCCTGGTAACCACTTTTGCATTCGGATGAAAAATGTAGCAGTGCCAGACCCAGGGTTGCCTAAAGAGTGGGCATCGGGGTGGGGCTTGGGTCTGGGCTAGGGCCAGGGTCAGAGCCAGGGTAGAGGCAAGCAGAAACAGCAGTGCATCTTGCCCCATTATTTGGTAACCCCCAGTGGGGAACCACGGCTGGGCCCAGCCTGGCCTGTAGGTTCAGTGAGGGCAGTAGGCTTGGGGGGCAGATGGAGCCAGCCTAGATCTTCCGGGGGGTATCCAGCTTGGCATCTGCCCCCTCCCATCTCCTTCCCTACACCTGCAGCTGGCACCTTCCACCCTGTGAGCCACAGCTGGTGCCACCTCTCATTAGGTGATGATTTTACATTAATTACCTTAATTAAGCGGTGCTGAGTGCTAATGGCTTGAGAGGAGGGGGTGACTGTTCCTAATTGCCCTTCCAGTCAGCCCAGAGTGAGGGGCCTACGGCCTGGCAGAACAGGAAAAAACAGTTACAGAAAGAAAGGAGCCCCAGTACAGCTAGGAAAGGGCCTCTTCCCTGGGCCTTAGAGGCCTGAAACTGACTGCCCCAGAAGGGAAAGCTAGAGGCATGTGCAGTTGGCTCTCTGCCCAGATTCCAGGCTTGTGGGAGTTGGAATGGGTGGGAGGCAGGCCTGGAGTTGGTAAGCAAGCAGTGTGACCCTGTTCTCCAGACTCCTTCTCTGCCTTCCCTGTGGCTCCCTAGTCCGGTGCCTAGTTCCCTTAGCTGGATGGAATACTTTCTAAGACCCAGAATAAATGCCCCTTCCTTTTTCCTCCATACCTATTCCTGGTTATAAGGCACCCCTTCAGGAACTTGTAATCTACTCAAAGAGGTGGGCAGCTATAAACATACCCATAGAAGACAGAGTGGCAAGGGCTAAGATGAGAGATGATGAGTCAAAGCTTTGGGAGCCAAAAGAGTATGCCCACAGAAAGTGATGCCAGTGTTTCAAGGAAGAGGGACCAGAATATGTAATTGGGGTTTATGGGGCAAAAAGCCTCAGTCCATTCAGTCAGTTGCAAGTTGTTCAAAACAAAGGAAGAGGTAATCATGAGATAGGAAGTAGCAGAGATGGGCCCAGGACTGCCCTGATTCAGAGGCTCCTAAGGCAGAATGGAGGACAGGAGTGGGAAATTGTCATATAAGAAAAATGGCTGCTTATATGGGGAAGGGGGCATAGCAAGAAGCATGGATAGATGGGTGATCAGTGAGGCAGTGACTGACTCACCAGGAGGCATGATAAGGGATGGACCACACAGTAGTTAGGGTGATGGAGAGAAGCAGGCAAGTGTGAGTTTTAGGGGGGAAGTCATGATGACAGAATTTGGGGGTGCGGAGAGACCAAGGGGCCCCTGTTGCTGCTCTGGGAACACTACCACATTGCATCATGGTTTCTGACCTGGACACAATGGGTTGGTAAAATTTGGGGGAACAAAAGGAAATACCTGGATTTGTGGAGGTTGAAGAGCCTGTGGGACACTAGTGAGGGCTTTCAGACTTAAGCCTGGGACTTTAAGGAGTGTCTGAATCCTAGGGAAGTATGAGATGCCCAGGAGACTGGGGACAAATCTGACTCTCCCACTAGCCAGTTGCCTATCTGACTAGGGGGTGGCCCTATCAGTCTTCCCCACCTCTGCATCCCAGGACCCAGCATGTGCTCACCACAGGATCTGAGCAGGAAGAATTTGCTGAATGAAGGAATGAATGGGGGAAGAGATGCGTGAATGAGGCACCATAGCTTCCTCACAGGGGGTCTTGTGTTATCTCTGGTGGGCCATGTGGTTTCAGGTTTAGAACTCATATTTACCCAGTCCCTTGCCCATCCAAGGCTGAGCCTCAGGCTCTCCTGAGCCCTTGGTCAAGTCTTGAGGAAGAAAGTGAGCACACCTGCCCTTCCATAGCCCTCCCAGGTATTTCTGGTGGTGCACAAGACAGAATCCAACCATGTTTTCGGCCCATCTCCTATTTCTGGTCCTAGGCACTCCCCATCCTACTGGTACCCCTAAGCATTTCTATCTCCTTCCGTAACAGGCTTCTTTCTGAGAAAGGGTATCTTTGCTCTTAGACCCAAGTTACTTACCTTGATCTCTACTCCATAGCCAGGGTAGACAGAGATGTAGTAGAAACAGTCCAGGCCAACATCAGAGGGTGAGCTGGATGTGGGAGAGTCCAGAAAGCCCTCTGGGCCTGAGAAATTCCAGCTACAGGGGCCTGGGAGGCAGGAGGAAACATGAGGCTAAGCCCAGCTCTGGTGGAGTGGGGCCAGTTATAGTTGACTTTCACATGTGTGTTTGTGTGGGGAAGCCCATCTCTAGGAAGCCTATTTCTAGGTCCTATCTTTGGGACCACCTTATGCTGAGGACCTACTATGTAAAATCCTACCTCAGTTCTCACAATGACTCCATGAAGTAAGCTTTCTTATTGTCACTTTATTTATTTAGTCTTTATGAGACAGGGTCTCTCTGTAGTCCCAGCTGGCCTGGAACTCACTATGTAAGACCAGCCTGGCCTCAATCGCACAGAGATCCACCTGCCTCTGCCTCCCAAGTGCTGCTTATTGTCACTTTATAATTGAGGCTCTGAGAGGCTAAATAAAATTCCTAGGACTGCATCAGAATTGGAAGAATCAGGGCTTGAACCTGGTGCTATCTCCTTCCAATCCACATGCTTTCTGCAGGCTGGCCCTTGGTGCCAAAGGGCAAGGCAGGTTCACACAGTGTCAGAGACAGGCATTTAGGGAATCCTGCTGTGCCCCCAACCCCTACTTCCAGTCCTGCGAGTCAGCAGGTAGCTGACCTGGTGGCTGGACTGTAGTGATGGTGGTGGTAATGATGGTAGTGGTGGTGGTGGTGGTCTCCTCGTCATCCCCTGAGGCTGTGGTGGTGATGGTCCCCTCAATACCCAGTCCTGTAGTCTGGGACATGACCTCTGGAGCCCATGGTCTGCCCATGTCTCCGGGACCCTCCTGGGTTGGAGTCCATGCTCTGCTGGGAGGTGTAGTACTGGGCCTGTCCCCTGGGTGCAGGGTGGGTACTGCCATGCTGGGCCCCGGAGGTAGGGGAGCTGTGATACGAAGCTCAGGAGGCTCTGACTCCAGACTCCAAGGTCTCTTCCTGGAGTGGGGCTGTGTGGGTGCTGCAGCCACAGATGGAGTGGGACTAGTAAAGACCGGGCGGCTGTCCTGGTTGGTCAGGCGGGGAAGGGGACTTGAAGTGAAGGGTGTAGGTGGATCAGGTTGGAAGGGCAGAGCAGGCTTCAACTCTTCCTCGCCCCTCTCTAGCCCCTCTTGAAGGAATTCCTCCAGCAGTGGGTGGTGGTTGAGTAGCTTGAGGGTAGGGGCTGTGGTGACAAAGTGGACACCTCGGTCTGGCTGTTCAGGTGTAGGGGCTGCTGTCAGGTCTCCATCCATCTCCTTGATGCCTGTGGCTTGACCTTCCCCCATGGTTGGAATCCCCGAGGAGAGTCCTGAAATAATAATGAATGATCAGAGGTCCTCCTGCTACACCACAGTAAGCAGTATCCCACCTAGCTCAGGCAGGAGGAGATCCATATCCCTTTTGACAGTGAGCCTTGGAGAGTGTGCTCATTGTTGAGAATCATGAAGTTATAAAATTTTAGAGCTGGAATCAAGATGATATCACATACTTCAAGGTTGGCACATGAACTATCCTTTCTCCTCCAGCACCCAAGACAGGCATTACAAATCGATCATTGCACTATTTCTTGCTGTTCCCAGATTCAATCCTTTTCAACACAGCACCCTTAGAAACCATGATGTGACCAATACATGTTTGTCAGCCCTAATGAGCTCAAAGGCCTTATTTTTATTAAAGAGGACGTAGGTCAGAAAAAGGAAGTGCTTGGGCTGAGACTGTATCTTAACTGGTAAAATGCTTGCATGGCATGTATGAAGCTCAAGGTTCAATCCTCAGCACCATATAAACTGGACATGGGCAGGTGTGGTGGTGCACAATTTTAATCCCAGTACTTGGGAGGAGGAAGTCTGTGAGTTCAAGGCCAGCCTGGTCTACATAGTGAGTTCCAGGCCAGTTGGGGCTACAGAGAGACCCTGTCTCAAAAAAGATTAAAAAAAGGCTGGGCGTGGTGGCGCATGCCTTTAATCCCAGTACTCAGGAGGCAGAAGTCTGTGAGTTCGGTCAGCCTGGTCTACATAGTGAGTTCCAGGACAGCTGGGGCCACAGGGAGGCCCCCTTTCCAAAAAAACCAAAAAAAAAAAAAAAAAAGAAAGAAAGAAACCAACCAACCAAACAGGCATGGAGACACACAGCCATCAGAAGTTCAAGGTCATCCTCAGCTACACAGTAAGTTTGAGGCCAGTCTGGGACACAGGAGGAAAAAAAAAGAAGGAAGTACTTTGCTCAAAGTCATATGATCAGTTTAAATGGGAGAGATAAGGGTTTTTTAAATTTTATTTTATTTATTATTTTTATTTTATGTATATGATTATATTTCCTGCATGTGTGTAAGTGTACCTGTGCCATGCAATACCCTCGGAGGTCAGAAGAGGGAGTTAGATTCCCCTGAAGCTAGAGTTACAGGCAGTTGCTAACCACTACATGGTGCTAGAAATCGAACCCATGTCCTCTGCAAGAGCAGTAAGTGCTCTTAACTGCTGAGCCATCTCTCCAGCTCTGAGAGATAAGGATTTTAACGAGAGTAATGTCCCTCACAACAGTGACTTTTCTGGCTGAGATATAAGACATTCAAATTCGTGTCCTGTTTCCTGTGAAACCTCTGGCTATTAGTCTCAGGAAATATATCACATATTTGGAATTTGGTTTTAAATTTTCTCATGGATGCTTGACTTCTTTTTTTTTAAATATGAAAAAAATTTTTTGATTTACTTATTTTATGTGTATGAGTCTTTTGCCTGCAAGTATGTAAGTGCACCTGTGTTTTGCAAAGCCCACAGAGGCCAGGAGAGGGTGTCAGATCCCCTGTAACTGGAGCTATGGACAGTTGTTAGCCACTATGTGGGTCCTCTGGAAGACCAGCTTGACTGCTGAGCCATCTCTCCAGCCCCATGAAGCTATTTTTTTTAAGATTTATTTTTATTTATATATATATATGTCTATATGTGTATGGGTGCCTACCAATGGCCTCAGATCCTCTGAAACTGGAGTTAAAGTGGCTGTGAGCCAACTGACTTGGGTACTGGGAACAGAACTCTGGTCCTTTGCAAAAGTGGTTTGCACTCTTAACCACTGAGCCATCTCTCCAGCCCTGATGCCGAAAGTCCCACTTCTCCCACTTCTCAGAAAAGTATTTCTCTTCTCCCCTTCCATGATTTGTTCTGAGATAGGGTCTCACTATGTAGCTGGCTGCCCTGGCATCAAATTCACAGAGATCTGCCTGCCCCTGCCTCCTGAGTACTGGGATTGAAAGTCACATGCTCAGCACCCTTTCCTGGTTTTTATGGACCTTCTAGAGAAGGGTCTTCTTAGTAGAAGACCCCAAGCCCTGGGGCAGATAGGGCTTTGGATTCCAGGTCCATCTCTCCGGGGCTACGTGGCCTCAGGCAAACAGCCTACATCCTTTAAACCTCAGTGTTCTTAGCATCTGTACAGTATAGTTTCATTTTTTTAGGATTGAATGAGAAAATGCTATTTCCTTTCCTCCATTTGATAGGTCTCCCCAAATTCCCTTTTTCTTTTATTTTGAGGCGGGGTCTCACTCTGTAGCCTCCAGGCTGGCTTGAAACTCATAATCATCTACCTTCTGAGTGCTGGGATAACAGGCATACACCTATGCACCATCATGCCCAGTTCTCCTTTGATCTTTCTTAGAACACTAGGCAGGGTCTTAAACAGGGACAGAATGACATTTGGCATGCTACCCCTCCATTTATGGCAGATGTCACTGATCAATCTTGATAGTTTCTTGCTAAGGCCACATGGGACTTCAGAACCCTTCTCAACAGTTATCCAGGCAACCATTATCAACCAATTAGGCTACAGAAGATGAAACTCATTTGCTATCTCTGGTCAGAGATGTAGATTGCTCTGCTATTGATTATGTTGACTCATTTAACCACCTCAGTGAAGAGCTGATGCATGTCTTCTTGTGGCCCACTAGGCTCCCTAGATCCTTAACTGCCAAGAAAAGGTCAATGGATGCTGGCTTCATGTTCAGTTCATACAGAATTTTACCAGTTCTGAGAAGGCTGGGAAGATACTTCTAGTCTCCACAGCTTCAAAATGGGAGAATTCAGAAAGGAAGTACAACCAGGTTGAGCTAGGGAAGTTTTCGAGGTTGGTTCCTCCCCATGTCTGCTAGTGGGGCTGTCATTCCACAGGCTCACACCCACCTCATGGATTGGCAGGCATGAGGAAGTGGCAGATGGCCTACATTCTGTTCAGGAGACAAAAGCAGCTCTGATGTGTGAGACAAATGGGAGGAAGGAGGAAATTGGGGTGGGGGAGGCAGGTTTAGGTTGAGGACTCTCCATCCCTCTGGTCACAGGGGGCTGGGCAATCCAAAGCCTTGAGAAACCTGGACCAACAGCTATCTCCTGAGATGCCCACTAAAGTAGCCCATCTGTGCCTTGGCATTTGTGTCAGACTAGATACCCAGCCAGGCTCATATCCCCCAGAGCAGATGGTCTGACGGTGCTGGGTGTCTTTCATGTAAATCAGTGATGGATTGTTGAGGCAGTGCCTGTGACTTGCCAGGACAAGACTACTTTCTTTTTCCACCCCCCAGATGTCACTCTGTCTCTGCCAGGTGAGCAGTGACTATTCTTAGCATGGCACACAGGCAGGAACCCCTGGAGCTCTGCATTGCTCCAGGTACCTTTTCCAGGGCTGCCCATTAAGAGGTAAGGCCTGTGGCTCCCAAGGTGGACACCTGTGGGACTGACTCTTCCTTGAGAGGGAATGAGCACACAGAGAGCTTCTGCCTCAGGAATTGACCATAGCAAGCACAGCTTTCTTGCTGGCAGCCAGTTGGGTGCTGGGCAACGGAGTGGAGCTAATGGGCACCTCCCGTCACTGTCGATTGCACTGATTGTGTTATCTAGGGGGACAGAACACTTGGTTAAATGGGATAGAGATAGCATAACAAAGGAGCAAATTGATTCCCAAATCTGCTGTCAGTTGGTCCCTGCGGGCACCACCCACTGTCAGCAAGGGTAAGATAATCTCTGGGAGATAAGCCACTTCTGCAGGAGGGCATCTTCAAATACCCTAGTTGACTGTTGGAGGTCTGAGGGCCTATAACATGCCCCTCCACCCCACCCCAGGGATGTGGCTGGGAGGTCAGAGTCTTCTGATCTCCCTAAGTTTAGTGTAGGGCTGACAAAAGAGCAGAGGGAGATACAGGGACCAGCAGAAGGAGGTGCCAATGGTCCTGGTATGAATGCTCAGTTTCATGGGGCATCTGCTGAGTCAGTCCCTGCCACAGCCTTGTATTATTATTATTATTATTATTATTATTATTATTATTATTATTTTATCTGCTTGCCTTTCTAGTAATTCTCAAAGATATGGGAGTCTATATTAATGATAAAAGTGTGAGCCAGACAGGTCTCTAATGTCTTATTATTGGATGTTTCAGCTCGCTGGCCTTGAACTCTCAGAGATCCACCTGCCTCTGCCTCCTGAATGCTAGAATTAAAAGCGTGTGCCACCATGCCTGGCTTGCTTTGTTTTATTTTTCAAGAGAGGGTCTCATCTAGCCCAGGCTGGCCTTGAACGCCCTACATAGTCAATGCTGTCCTTCAACTCCTGAATCCTCCTGTCTCTGCCTCCCAAGTGCTAAAATTACAGGCATGTGACACCACATCCAACAACCTTATTTAATTAACACAGCAACTCTGTGATAAAGGAATCTTCCTCATGCTTTCTAAAGAACTTGGAGCCAAAGCTGAGCGAGGGAAGGAATTGCTGAGTCTCAGTGTTAGAGCCGAGAGTCAACCTGTGTCCAGCTAGCTCTACTATTGATTATGTTGACTCATTTAACCACATCATTGAAGAGATGATGCACATTCTGCTTGTGGTCCACCAGGCTCCTTAACTGCCAAGAAAAGGTCAGTGGATGCTAGCTCCACATTCAGTGGAGAATTTTGTCAGCTCTGAGAAGGCCGGGGGAATATTCCCTGTCTCTACAGCTCTCAAAATGGCTGTATGAGGATATGGAAAGGAAATATAACTGAAATGGCCCCATTCATCCCAGACCAGCCTGATTCATGGCAGGGAGGAATAGAGCTACCAGCAGTGAACACTCGAATTTGAGGAAACCACAAGTGAACAGAGAGGAATGGATCCATCTAAGGTCTCTGCAGGTTGGAAGTGATTCCTGCCCTTGAGAAGGTTTCTGGCTGGAACTTACAGAGCCCCAACTCCAGGCACAAAGCACATCTGAGCCTGGGACATGCTGGAGCTCCAACATTACTAAACAGTCAGGGCACAGTCACACAGACCTGGGTTCAACTGTCAGCTCTGCCA